GGGAGCCTGTCGGCCGAGCGGACAGCACGCAGAACTTGTGATCCTGGCGTCTTCCTTTAAGTGTTTATTGAGGCGGAGGCTATCTCTTCATGACAGGCTCAATGCATTAGTCTGCTAACTGAACACAGAAGTATACCAGGACTCTGCTTTTGTAAGGGACTTCTATCTGTTCATTTGTAAGTGTGTTTGCAGAGGAATGGGCTTTGGTTCCTTGTAATATTGCTAATTTAGTGAGTTCAATTCACGACCCTCACACTGAGTACAGATTTTTATTTCTCTCGTTTATATGGGTGTTCATTTATGTGTTAACCCCTTGTCCTGGTATCACCCCTTGTGTGAACCCTGGTTCTGGTCCCACCGCTTGTGCAGCCCGGTCTCCCCCAGCATTCCCAATGTCAATTGTACTGAATTGCCCGAACCTAACCTACCCGAGGACCCACGAACAGAAAAAGGGACATTAAGTCAATTCGCGAGCCGCTACCATTTTAGGAACAACAGTTTGGTCTCAGGGGAAATTATATGTCAAAATGCGATGCACAGGAGAACGGGTTGGCTTGTGTGGCCCCCTCGTCCTACCTACACCTACAGGTGGCTTAAAGCCGATGTGTCAGCTGGCTGCAGGAGGCTTGAGAGGTAGAAGGTGGCTGCAGGTGGCTTGAGAGGTAGAAGGTGGCTGCAGGTGGCTTAAAGCCGATGTGTCAGCTGGCTGCAGGTGGCTTATAAGTGAGGTAGAAGGTGGCTTGAGAGACAGGTAGAAGGTGGCTGCAGGTGGCTTGAGAGACAGGTAGAAGGTGGCTGCAGGTGGCTTGAGAGACAGGTAGAAGGTGGCTGCAGGTGGCTTGAGAGACAGGTAGAAGGTGGCTGCAGGTGGCTTGAAGGCGTGGCGCAAGTTGGCTACAAGTGGTTTTAGGGCGAGGTGCCAAGCGATTACATGTGGTTTTAGAGCGCCTTGACAGGTGATTGCAGGTGTGGTGTACAAGATACACATAATTATATAAAAAGATCTGAATGACGATGGAGTTTATATCCATGCCACGGAGACAAGAGAGAGTGGGCTCAAGCACCAAGCTAGAGACAGAACTCAGCCGTCCACGGACCATCCAAGGACAGATATCACCCTTCCACGGACCATGTAGGGACTGATATCACCCGTCCACGGACCATCCAAGGACGGATATCACACGTCCACGGACCATCCAGGGAAGGATATCACCCGTCCACGGACCATCCAAGGACGGATATCACCCGTCCACGGACCACGAAGCACCACACCTACATAATCCCATAAACGCCAAGCTCGCGTGCTATGCTGGCGGCAGGGGAACTATTTTGTCGCAATTTGCTTCGGCTTTCTTCTTATGTCTGATGGCCGGGAGGGAAGGGTGGGGTGGTGGTTGATGGGGAGAGAGGGGGTGAGAGGTAGGGGGGGAGGGGGGAGAGGTGGGGGGAGGAAGGTGAGAGGGATGAATAGGTGGTGTTTGCGAAAGGAGAGAAGGGGTAGGGGAGGTAGGTGAGGAAGAGTTGGGGAAGTAGGTACAAGGTGGGGGGGGGAAAATGAGAGAAGGTGAGAGCGGGAGAAAGTGAAAAAAGGCGATGAAGGTGAGTGAGGGAGGACAAGAAAATGAGATGAAGGTTGGGGCGAAAGTGATGAAAAGAATCATAATGAATAAATAGGTCCAATGTAACATCAGAATAATTTGCAACAAAAGTAACAGGTGACTAACTGGGTCAAATTTAATATCTGAATATGTGTCTTATACAAAAACTGGTCATAGTCATAGAGCAGCGAGCCAGTGGACCGCTTCAACGTGGGTCACAGGGTAGTTAGGGCAGAGGGCAACGATTGTGACCTTATAATCACACAAGTAACTCAACGGGTTGCTGGTCATTTCTTTGACCTGCCCAGTGCCAGAGAGGAGGAGAACAAAAAGACAAAGTGCGAGAGACAGAGTGACAGACCGAGAGGGAGACAAAGAGAGAGAGAGAGAGAGAGAGAGAGAGAGAGAGAGAGAGAGAGGAGAGAGAGAGAGAGAGAGAGAGAGAGAGAGAGAGAGAGAGAGAGAGAGACAGACAGACAGACAGACAGACAGACAGACAGACAAGCAGACAGACCCACAGAGTAAAAGAGAGACAGGCTGAGAGAGAGAGAGAGAGAGAGACAGAGAACGAGACAGAGACAAATAGAAACAGATAGACAGAGGCCAGAGAGAGAGAGAGAGAGAGAGAGAGAGAGAGAGAGAGAGAGAGAGAGAGAGAGAGAGAGAGAGAGAGAGACAGACAGACAGACAGACAGACAGACAGACAGACAGACAGACAAGCAGACAGACCCACAGAGTAAAAGAGAGACAGGCTGAGAGAGAGAGAGAGACAGAGAACGAGACAGAGACAAATAGAAACAGATAGACAGAGCCAGAGAGAGAGAGAGAGAGAGAGAGAGAGAGAGAGAGAGAGAGAGAGAGAGAGAGAGAGAGAGAGAGAGAGAGAGAGAGAGAGAGAGAGAGAGAGAGAGAGAGACAGACAGACAGACAGACAGACAGACAGACAGACAGACAGACAGACAAGCAGACAGACCCACAGAGTAAAAGAGAGACAGGCTGAGAGAGAGACAGAGAACGAGACAGAGACAAATAGAAACAGACAGAGCCAGAGAGAGAGAGAGAGACAGACAGACAGACAGACAGAAATAGAGGCAGAGAGGCAAACAGAAACATAGACAGAGAGAGAATGAGAGTTGCATGTGTGTTGACGTACTTCATGTACGATGTAAAAAGGACATGAAGATGTCCGTTGTCAATGAGGTGTCCGTTGTTAGGGAGGTGTCCGTTGTTAGGGAGATGTTTGACAGCACGTATTTGTTGAAGGCAGGTGTTTTCTGTAGGCAGGTGTTTGCTGTAGGCAGGTGTTTGTTGTAGGCAGGTGTTTGCTGTAGGCAGGTGTTTGCTGTAGGCAGGTGTTTGTTGTAGGCAGGTGTTTGCTGTAGGCAGGTGTTTGCTGTAGGCAGGTGATTGTTGTAGGTAGGTGTTTGCTGTAGGCAGGTGTTTGCTGTAGGCAGGTGTTTGCTGTAGGCAGGTGTTTGCTGTAGGCAGGTGTTTGCTGTAGGCAGGTGTTTGCTGTAGGCAGGTGTTTGTTGTCTACAGGTGTTTGTTCAATTGTTGAAGGCAGGTGTTTGCTTCATTTGTCTACTCAAATGCTACAAATAAATAAAATATCTCATATTTCTCTTTTCAAAGTTTCCAAGTGTTGTTCTATGCAATTCTTTTTAATTATTTGAATATAGTTGAAACATTTATATAAATACAGATATTCTGCATATAAATCAATAATATATAAATACTAAGGTCATCATTGCTGTCAAGAGCAAGGAAATCATGTTTCTTTTTTTCTCATAGATATTAACAAAGGAGGAATTGGAAAGCTGGAGTAAGTTCAAATATATTTTATTAGTGTAAAAGTATTGATAATACATATATCTTTGGCTTGGTGGTCCTGGCGGGGACGGTATGGCTTAAGAACTAGACTAGTGACCAACATAGGAACACAACATGGTGGAGAGCTCGTTGACTAGCTAAGGACTAGGGGCCCCGCGAAGTGAGGTTGGGTACTCCTGGAGAATCTGGGGGAGGTAGGAATGGTGCTACTGGTCTGCTTCTGGGGGGCTGGATGGTGCCTGCTGGTCGTGGTGGGGTCCTGCTGCGGGGGAGTGCTGCTCCTGGTGGGGTCCTGCTGCGGGGGAGTGCTGCTCCTGGTGGGGTTCAGCTGCGGGGGAGTGCTGCTCCTGGTGGGGTCTGGCTGGGCAGGCGGCCTCGGTGTGCTTGTTGAGGAGAGACATTCTGGAGAAGGTCTTGTGGCAGGTGACGCATGCGTACTTCTTAACGTCAGCGTGGGTCTGAAGGTGGGCCCGCAGGTTGCTGCGGTCAGCGAAGCACCGGTCACACTGCGGGCACTGGAAGGGCTTCTCCCCGGTGTGGGTCCTGATGTGGCCCTGCAGCAGCCACGGCCGCGAGAAGGCCTTGCCACACAGCTGACACTTGCACGGCAGCGTGTGCGTGCGGATGTGCATCTTGAGTGCGCCCAGACTCGTGTACACTTTCTCGCAGTGCTTGCACGCAAACGACTTGGCACCCAGCGCTGCGCAGTGGAACTGTTTGTGCTTGCTCAGGCCAGAGTACGTTGAGTACGACTTGCTGCAATCGCTGCACGAGTACCGGGCTTCCCTCCGCTGTCTTGAGACTCCAGTATCGTCCTCGGACTCTGAGGCTGTGGAGGAGCAAGTAGACACGGGGGAGATGAGGGCTGAGGACTCTGGGTAGCAGTGGAATGGCACAGGACTGACAGGTAGTTGGTCTGAGGTGACTGGCGAGGCCTGAGGTGAAGGCGGGAGGTAGGGTGTGTTCCACTGCGGTAGCGAAGGTCTGGGTTCCATCCTCCTGGGCTCCGGAGCGTCCGATGTCGACCTGAAGAGTTGGAGGTAATACTCGGCGAGGGAGGGCAAACTTTCTGCCACTCGGGCTGCAGGAGGCGACGAAGGTCCGGTGCGAGGCACTGTGTGTAGCACTGTTGGCACTGCAGCGGTGGGTGGAGACGGAAGACAGGGCCACACAAGAGGTTCTGCGACAGGTTGGCGCACTGTAGTCGTCGCTGTCGTCATCACTGTAGGCGTCGCTGTAGGAGTCGGCGCCGCAGGTGACTCTAGACGGGGCCTTTTCACACTAAGATCCTCAGGCTGGTCCTGCTCTGGGGGCGACGTGGCTGGTTCGTTGTACAAAGCCAGGGGCCGTTTCTTGAGCGGACAGTGCGCATAGTTGCGCTTTACCATGAATGAGCTGGGCATGGTTTCTCTCACAACTCACTGACTAACACGAGATGCGTAGTGTACTCTACAGTGGGTTTAACTGTTCTGAGGAAATCGACGCGTGCGACGCCTTATATACGCTCGCAGAAAGCAGGTGCAGAAGGAGCGTGCCGTCAGCCAATCAGGTGCGGAAGGCGGGGCTTAGCCGCTCGTGCCTCGTAACGCCGCCCTGCCGAACACTTCTACTTTACGGTTCCTAGTTCATGCAGTTATAAAAGGAAATAAGTTAAATACTTTTCACGCAAGTATTAAACAATGTTGATATGTCAAAATCAAAACTTTTGAAAAATTTTCATTTATTGATGAATATATATATATATTTAAGTCATGTCTAGCAGCCTTTAGCAGGGATCTGAGCGGTACGGTCTCCGCCCCCAACAGTCAAGAGCCAATCGGCTAACTTCCCGCCGCGTGTGGCAGCCAATAGCTGGAGGAAAGAAACAGCTGTCGCGCGCCCGAGATGGCGGTTGACAGGTGTCACATGGGCACGACCCTGGTATGCCCACGTGGCCTCGGTCCTGTGTAAATATACTTTATTTCCCCTGGTAGGAAACATGGGCAGAAGAGACTTTAAGGAACATAAAGCGAGCCCCGAGCAGCATTTACGATGAAAATTAATAAACAATTTTGTGACTGAATCACGAAATAACACGAGTTGTAGACAGTTCGGTTTGAGGGGAATCGGTGAAGTTCTTCAGCCAGCGGACTGTAAGGCGCCACGCGACTCCTGGGGGGGATGACGTGTGGAAAGAGCGGGAGGAGGATGAGAGGGGCCCATGGACCAGAGGGCTAAGAAAGAGGAATAAGGAGGCAAGGGAGATGAATGCCGACTGACCCCAAGATCTTAGCGGTCAGAGGGAGATGACGCCACAAGGTTCGTTCCCTTTCAGATCAAGATCAGAATTTTTGCTATGTTCTTGAGGTTATCTTGAGTTGATTTCGGGGCTTTAGTGTCCCCGCGGCCCGGTCCTTGACCAGGCCTCCACCCCCAGGAAGCAGCCCGTGACAGATGACTAACAACCAGGTACCTATTTTACTGCTAGGTAACAGGGGCATAGGGTGAAAGAAACTCTGGCCATTGTTTCTCGCCGGCGCCTGGGATCGAACCCAGGACCACAGGATCACAAGTCCAGCGTGCTGTCCGCTCGGCCGACCGGCATGCTGGCCTACAATGCTCTAATACTTCATCATACCAAATGCACAAGAACTGAGGAAATAAGAATATCCAATAGCACTAAAAACAATGCTTAACTATATAACACAAAAGCCAAAATAATTGCAATTTTTGTATATAGGAGAAAACTGAACCTTGAAGTTAGACAAGATTTTAGAGGGGCGGAATTTTCTATTTTCCTTGGCTTCTCACGAATAATTACAACGACAACATAGAGAGATTTGCTGTTTACCTCTATGTAAGAGTGCGTTGTTATAATTAATAACGCTCTTTCATCAATAACGCTGTGATTATCATCGATAACGTTGTGATTATCTTCAATAACGCTGTGATTATCATCGATAACGTTGTGATTATCTTCAATAACGCTGTGATTATCATCAATAATTTGTGATTATCATATATAAATTGTGATTATCATAAAAATTTTGTGAATATCAATAACGCTGTGATTATCATCAATAACGCTGTGACTATCAACAATAACATTGTGATTACCAATAACGCTGTGATAATTGCTAATAAAGCTGTGGTTATCATCAATTACGCTGTGATAACCAACAATAACGCTCTTCTCCCTCTCCCCACCGGCGTATAACGGGCGTAACACACTAGGAGGTTACGCAAGGTGTAACAGAACGCTGGATCCGGAGGGGGGCGGCGGGGGGGGGGGGAGAATCGTAACAAAAACCAAGAGTGAAAATAATTGAAGGGGGACAAAAAAATAGATGACAAAGTGAAAGGAGTGTAAGGTAGAGTGCTTGCAGCCTTGAGTGTGTGGTGGCGGTGGAGTACGAGTGTATTGTGTCACGGTAAACGTGTGTTGGAGTGTGTGTGTGTGTGTGTGTGTGTGTGTTGGAGTGTGTGTGTGTGTGTGTGTGTGTGTGTGTGTGTGTTGGAGTGTGTGTGTGTGTGTGTGTGTGTGTGTGTGTGTGTGTGTGTGTGTGTGTGTGTTGGAGTGTGTGTGTTGGAGTGTGTGTGTTGGAGTGTGTGTGTGTTGGAGTGTGTGTGTGTTGGAGTGTGTGTGTGTGTTGGAGTGTGTGTGTGTTGGAGTGTGTGTGTGTTGGAGTGTGTGTGTGTGTGTGTGTGTGTGTGTGTGTGTTGGAGTGTGTGTGTGTGTGTGTGTGTGTGTATTCACCTAGTTTTGCTTGCGGGGGTTGAGCTCTGCTCTTTCGGTCCGCCTCTCAACTGTCAACTGTTTCTATTACTACTACTACTATTTTTTTCCACACCACACACACACGCCCCAGGAAGCAGCCCGTGACAGCTGACTAACTCCCAGATACCAATTTACTGCTAGGTAACAGGGGCATAGGGCGAAAGAAACTCTGCCCATCGTTTATAGTAATAGCTTATAATAATGAGGGAAGACACAGCCTAAGCTACTCTATTCCTTTTGAGATGTATTTTATTGTCTCAATAAACTTACTTGAACTTGATATAGCTTATAATTTTGATGTCCACGTCCCTAAGGGAGAATACTATGTCTAACACGGCTGGTACGTCATTTTCCAAAATTTTCATGGGTTCCTTGACTGGAAGAGTGGCGGGTGGCTGTTGGATATAGCAGCGGAATGTCCTATTTTTAGGTTGTGGAATGTGCTCCAGAAATGTGTGACTGTAAGAGTGGCGTGCAGACACTGTTTATAGTGTAGAAGAGTGTGTCACACTGTGTTGGATACTGACCTTGGGGGGAGGGGGAACTGCGTAGTGTACCTAGTGTATTGCTTCGAGAGTATGCTAAACGTTTATTGTGTGTACCTGCATGTATTATGTGTACTTGAATGTTGGTGTGTATACCAGACAGCGTTATGTGTATATCTAAATATTCGTGGAGGTAGGATACGCATTTGTTGTATGGTGGCTTTGATAGGTAGGTTTAAGGGGAATGGGAAGGCCCTGGGTAGCTGGGTAGGCTCGGAGGAGGGGGTAGGATGGGGAGGGAGGGAGGGAGGGCAGAAGGGCAGGGATTTACAGCAGCTGTTGGGGTGAGGACCAGGGCACGCGTGGGTATGGGCAGGTCCGCCCTGAAAGGATGGTTGCGATGGTTGGGTGGGGTAGGGAGGACAAGGAGGAGGAGGAACGGACACAACTAATGACCCCTGGAGCCGTTCTCGCCCCTCCCGTTCGTCTACCAATATTACGATCTACTGTACATCGTCAATGAATAATTAGAAGCCAAAATAGAGAGAGAGAGAGAGAAAGAATCTCCACACACAAACAAACAAAGACAGAAGTGGGCCTAGCGCCGCTCACAGTTGCCAGAACGTAAACAAAGCTCACCGACCCTGGGGTTCACAGTTACCACAACACCCTTTAAAAAAAAAAATTGCCGCATCCCTTTTTCATTCATGCATAATTTATTCCTTAGTATTTCCCACATATATTATATTTTAAGTACTCGCGACATTACCAAATTGAAAAAAATGGAATACGTGGCGGTAGATAATCCTTTGGCGTAAGTGAGAAGGGTGTGGGTGATGGTAGAGGATGTCTGGTAACAGTGATCCCGTACACTACACACTCCCATTCATGACTGCATGACGTAAGGGATGTGGGCGGGGCCTCGTACTCATGACCCACATGTGCGTATACTAGCCTAGTTGTACTCACCTTGTTGCGTCCACAGGGTCGAGCAATTCCACCTACGGGTCAGGTGGAATTGCCTCTCATTTCTCCTGTTTTTTTTCATCGTAGTTCCTGTTCAATCTGCTATGATCTCTAGTGGTCCTTTCCATTGAAAAGTTTTCTTGACGTTTCTCTGGCTCATCTGTGTCTCTAGCTTCCACCTGTGTCCTCTGGTCCTGCCTCATCTGTGTCTCCAGCTTCCGCCCGTGTCCTCTGGTCCTGCCTCATCTGTGTCTCCAGCTTCCACCCGTGTCCTCTGGTCCTGCCTCATCTGTGTCTCCAGCTTCCACCCGTGTCCTCTGGTCCTGCCTCATCTGTGTCTCCATCATCCACCCGTGTCCTCTGGTCATGCCTCATCTGTGTCTCCAGCTTCCACCTGTGTCCTCTGGTCCTGCCTCATCTGTGTCTCCATCATCCACCCGTGTCCTCTGGTCCTGCCTCATCTGTGTCTCTAGCTTCCACCCGTGTCCTCTGGTCCTGCCTCATCTGTGTCTCAAGCTTCCACCCGTGTCCTCTTGTTGAACAGTTTCTCAATTTAAACATTGCCTCTTTGTCTACCCCCCTAAGTTCCCCTTAGTATCTAGTACGTTAGTTATCATATCTCCAACAATTCGCCATTCCTCCAACGAGGTGAGTGTTCGCCCAGCCTTTCAACGGAGATGAATCGCTCAGGTGAGGGACAAGTCTTGTCACATATCCCAGTACCGCTTTTCCATTTTTAGTTAATGCACTTTTCATCGGTGTGTATTTGTTTGGCTTTGCGAGTAGTGTGAGTGTGAGTGTGTGTGTGTGTGCGCGTGTAATGACCACACGCGCGCGCACGAGACTTTTACCTCCCTCCTTCGCCTCAACAGCTCCTCTCAACCCCCTCCCCATCCTATCTCATTTCCTCCCCCTCCCCTTCACCATCCCCCTCCCCACACCCTACCCCCCCCCCCCCCGTGCCCACGCCCCAAACAGCGTTACGCGGTGGCAGTTGTGTCATGACCCTTGACCTCCGTCTACCCTGACACCGTCTACCCCGTCAAATGGTAGGCCTACCAATCCCCCCCCTTCCCCACCCCCCCTCTCTCTCTCGCTCGCCTACCGGTTACCAGACCAACACCCAGATTTATATAAACATATCTGGCATATAGACATCAATGTGCGTACATCTAGGTGATTGCCTCTAGGAGAGTACATCAACCAGAGTACATGTTTAAAGTACATCAAAACGATTACGTCTAGACGCGTACGTCTTGGTGAGTATAT